CGGGCGGCTTCGAGAGCTTCTGCCGTTCATCCTGGAGCCTGGCGATCTCCCGCTGCACGCATTGTATATGCCTGGTGAAGGGTTTACGGTTTAGGGTTTAGGGTTTGGGGGTCTGGGGTTTAGGGTTTCGCGTTTCAGGTTTAGGGTTTAAGCAACAGTTTGGGTCCTGCCCCCACCCATTAACGGTCTGGACTAGGGATCATCGTGTGTATTCCAGGCTCTATATAACAGTTATATTACAAAAATCATCCAACTGCTAATGTGTGGGGGCAATACCCAATTCGGGCTTGCAAAAGCGACAATTGTAGCAGCAATGATAAGAATAATTGTAATAGCAATGATATAGCAATAATGGTTGTAGTAGTCACCAAAGCAGAAATATCAATGTCGCAGGAATGTCAATTGAAGACGGTGCTGTGGTTCACGTAAACATTAAACAAGCGCCAACAGTATGAAGTGGCAGCGGTAGCAATAACAGCGCGTAATAGCCATCAACTAATCTTGATACAAAACTAGTTACCACCAAGTCTACGCATCCCTGTAGTACTCATAACCCCCAATATGTACCCCCGTATCTCCTCCTAGATTCCCTACTGCATCCTAGCCTTCGACCCGAAATAAATTCAGTAGCATCCATGTCCTTTTCCGTTCCTTCCTTCCATACTAAATCCAAAACCCTAAATGCCCTCAACTTTTTGTAGCTCCCATTCACGTTCTTTCCATTCCTGCATTCCCCACTTACAGGGGGATTCAGGTTGGGAGGCTGCAGCGCAGCCTGATTCCCACCCCTTTTTTCTCATTACTCTAGGAGACTGCTTTGAAGGAACATACGGGAAATGTGGGGAAAATAGGTTTAGATGAGGGCTCCGAGATTAAAATTTACGGGTAGGTGCATGTTGGCTGTATAAGGGGGAGCCCCCCCAAAAGGATCGTTCTGATACCACAAAACCCATGTCATATTTCTATCGTTCTGGAACCTTAAACCCTGAATGCTATATCTTCCTAAAGAAACCCTAAACCGACATCGATATACTCCTATAAAACCTCTGAATACCCTTTTAAGTGCCCCGTGTTTGTATAACCTCCCCCCTTGGCCACGGACTCCATCCTCCGCACAACGCGCTTTGCCGCGGCGAGAGTGCTCTGCTGTAGCATCATGTCCTCGTAGTTGAGTCTGGGGGGGATTGGGCTTTGGGTATAGGGTTTAGGGTGCAGGGGTCAGGGTTTAGAGTTTGGAGTTTTGGGTTTAGAGACCCTTCATGGAGAGCTTTATAGCTTCTAAGAAGTAATTCGGGACCACCTAAGAATTTGAGCAAGAATTTGATAGTTACATAAATACATTCTGGGCCTCTGCAGCCTGTAGGGCTGTCCATGCTTTTGGCTCGGCTAAAATGGAGGCCACACCTTTGTCCCCATGTTGTGGTAGCATCTCCACATAGACCCGAAAATATTGCAATCCTTATTACAAGGACCCCCAAAAAAGGTAACCCATAATTGTGGGAAACCCTGAGCCCTAAACCCTATATGTTCTTATGTAGTCTCATATATCCCCTTTAACCCTAAACCCAAAGACCCCACATACTCTGGTGGCGTTTGAGGTTACGTAACCAGCCATGGATGCAGAAACCTGGGCTACTGCAAAGCAACCTCCAGCCACCAGAAACCTGACCCTGAGAACCCCCTTGGCTTAGTAGTGAATAAGGGAATTTGGGGGTATGATATAGGTTTGCATAGGGACTCAACAGGGGTGATATAGGGCTATATGATATCTATGTATGGTCACGCCCCGGGAGACCACCCCCTCTCCCCCTTCCAATGGTATGGTGGCTATATCCTAAACTCTAAATCACGATTCAAGTGTGGCCCCCCCACCCCCCCCGGGTCCTGTGGCCTGTGGTCTGGGTCTTGTGGGTTAAAGTCAGGCTTAGCCAGATTTGCACCCCCAACCCCCCGCCCCCAACCGTATGGTGGCCATCTTCTAAGCTCCACAACAGGCCCCCCCCAGCCTCTCACCGGTGGTCCTGTGGCCTGTGGGTCTTGTGAAGAAACAAGGTTTAGAGAGGTTTGTGCTGTTTCTAGAGGATTCAGAACTTGTTACCTCAACCCCCACTGTGGCTTATGTTTTGGCTCTTGTTGTTTGCATTGGGGATATAGTGGATTTATAATTTTCATAGAAGGTTTATAAATGGTGAGGTTGCATGGTTCTCTAGAAGACTTATATGAGACGAGGGCCACCCTGATCCCTGTTACTGCTGGTGCCTTTAAAGCACAACAAAAAAACTTAAGGGGCCCAAAGTGAGGATCGCCCCGATCCCTGTGACTGTTGGTACTTATGAAACGCGATGAAAGCATGAGGGGCCAAAAGTGACGACAGTTACGCGGATGGAGGCTTTGAGGTGCAAAAACGACGACAGTTACGAGGATGGCGACCCCGAGGGGCCCTATCCCTGTGAGTGTTGGCACTTTTGAAGCGTATCATTGGGGGGGTAGAAGGGGGGCAGAGCGCAGGACCATGTGTATGTATGTATGTATGTACGTACCTACGTATGTATGTATGTGGCCCTCTGTCAAAAATACACTTTCCTGTGATCACTTAG